TATAGCTTACTGCAGTCATCAAATATGCATTTTTTTTTTATTTCGATAAGAACAGTTTTACTGTTTTTTTTCCTCCTGAAACTTTTCTTTTCCTTTTCCCCCAACATTTTGTTGACCACACAATATCATAAGTAATCTAACTACTTTCAATAGCAAGTTAAGCTGGTAATGTCAAGAAAAACAGTTTTGACCTGGTAACGATATTTCCTTGAAACTTAGAGCCTAGAAACAGGTTAGTATTCTGTTCAAATAGTAGGTGCATGAACCTACCGACAGCTCAAGACAGGACAAAAATCCTTTAAAACCAGACAACAAAGCTTAGAAGAGAAGCAGCAATATTTAGTCAAGTCACAGAATGTTGTTTCATCAGTTTAATTTCATGTACTTAATCTTTCTTCTGTTGTGGTTCGATCTTCCGGATTGAATTCTGGGATATAATATTCATCTCCAGACATTGTCCCTACAATTAAGTTGCCCATTTTCTTAGTTTTTGAACTCTTATTTCTGTGTGTCTGCATTTAATTTTACTGACATAGCACTCCCTTAAGAACTTCTTGGAGATCTGGTCTGGTGCTGGTAAATTCTTTCAGGTTTTGTTTATCTGGGAATGTTCGTGTCTTTTCTTCCCATATGAAGGATAATCCGGCCAGGTACAATATTCTCAGATGAAATTGCTTTTCCCCTAACACTTTGAATATATTTTCCCATTCTTTCCTTGCTCGCATTGTTTCCGATGAGAGGTCTGCTGTTAATCTGATGGGATATCCATTGTAGGTAACTTGCCGTTTCTCTCTTGCCAGTCTTAATATCTTGTCTTTGTCTGTGGTCTTGGTCAATCTGGCTATAATGTGCCTTGGAGAAGATCTTCCTAGGTTGATTCTATTTGGGGTCCTCTGTATTTCTTGGGACTGAATCTTTGAGTGCCTCTGGCGTGAGTTTTAAGCCACTGGGTCCAGGACATGAACTGTGGTCGACTACATGGGAGTCCAGCGACATAGCCATTATGCTAACTGCTGGTCCCAGTTTTTCTTGTATTAAATGTAGTGAGTGTTTAGACAAATGTCATGCAAAGTCACACTATAGCTTCCTTAGATAATCCTAGAGAGTAGATCCGTTTCTGATTTTTCTTGCTTTTGCTGAAAAACTTATTTTCAGGTTCCAGAGTGTTTCTGAAAAACTGCACATGGAATGCAAAGCAGAAATGGTGACGCCCCTGGTGACAAATCCCGGACACGTGTGCATCACTGACACAAACCTGTACTTTCAGCCTCTCAATGGGTACCCGGTACGTGGACCCCAGGGACAGGTGTGGGCCTCCCTCTGTGTGTAAGGTCTCTTACCAGGAGCTCAACTTCACCACTGCAGGGACCTCGCATTCTGGCGAGGCCCAAAAGCCCAGCAGCTGTACCTCACAGGCTCCCCACATGACCCTGGTTCACAGCCACCCATGCTTGAGGTCAGTGACCTACCTGCAGTCTCTGGGCACACACTCAACACTGCCTGCCTTCTTTAGCAAAGGGTCAGAAAGTAGAGACTGATACCTTCCCTCTAGACTTACAGCTCTCTCACCGAAGAGACCAGTGAAATGTACCTATGATTAAAAAGAATCGAATGTTTTCTGTATGTTTGCTTATCTGTACATATTTGTTGCAATTTCTCATTTCTCCTTCATTATCAACCAGATCAGTAGATCTGGATCTCTCTGGGAGAAGCAGTGGGGACTGGTCCTCTGTCTGCTGGCACAGAGGCGTGTGGAGAAACACTGCCATGTACAGCCAGAGGGCTCCCTCTACAGTCTTGGGATCATCCTTCTCTTTCACAGTGACATTAAACTTGCTAGGCCAGAAAGAAAAGATTCAACTCAGATTTCTGCACCAAAACTTGAAAGGCTTTGTTGCTGATCTAGATCTGGCACCTTCCGGAGAAGTTCACTGAAAGAACAGAAATCCTGACACACTCTGGTAGTACAGTGGGCCATCGGCAGGGCAGCTCAAAGGATCAGCAGTGCTTTCTGCCGTAGAGAGCTAAACCCTGGAAAAGCTCTGGGCTGGTCATTTTGTGGCATGGAAGCAAGGCCACTTGAGTGACAGATGATGCTATAGCGAGCCTGTCCACTAGGTGGTGAGGCACGCTCACCAGATGCTCACGAGGATGGGATAAATGGGCATGGCTGTCACTGTTGCTGTGGTCAGAAAGCTTGCAGACCGTGCTTACATTTGTGCCATATCCTCAGGATCCATGTCGTGAGAACTTATCCCAAATTTCAGGGCCAGGATCTTTGCCAGGAGCTCCCAAGACTGACTTGGGATCCTCAGGGCCATTTCCACTGTCCCACAACCTGTCCTCTTCAGAGTCTTTTACCGCTTGCACTTGGGAGGAGCAGTGTTTAGTCAGCCTCAGTCCTCCTTCTAACCTCGTCCTTCTCTTGTGCCTGTTTCAAAGCTCTAGAGAAGCAAGACAATTTTCTTTTATTAAAAAGTCAATCTGTTTCTTTTTTTTTTTTTTTGGAGAGATTTTTGTTATAGGGCATGTGCGCTCGCCAGAGAGAGAGAGACAGAGAGACAGAAGGTGATAAATCACCCCCCCGGGGCGGGGTGGGGGGACGGCCACACCACAATCCCTTCTCCATCATTCTCTCGGGATCTTAGGCATGCATGCAGATGTGCCCAGTGGGAGTTTAAACCACTGGGGCCGGGACTTGAACCACGGTTGACTACATGGGAGTCCAGTGACACAGCCATTACACTAACTGCTGGTCCCAAAAGTTGATCTGTTTCTTGTGAGAGAGAGAAAGGAAGAAAGAGAGAGAGAGGCACCTCCATCGGGGTGCTCTCGCTGCGACCCAGCCCCAGCCAGCCTGGACCATGGGCAGACGTGCATGTGCCCAGCATGCACAGCCAGCAGCTGGGATGAGAACCCAGGGCCTTCCCATGTTACCGCTGTGCTGCCGTCTGACCTCCCAAAATTGTCTTCCTCATTAAGAAAGAAGATTTGTCAATGCCCTACTTTCCGCAGTAGTCTGAATACACTGTAATTTTTAAGGAGATAAAAGGCAGGACTCAAAACAAACAACGAAATGATGTGTGCCAGTCTAAGCAAAGCCTCGGCCTGTAAGATAGCAGAACTTCTGGGAGTTGCCCATGCCAGTGTATTTATGTCCTTTATCATCCGCGTCTTGTAATAGCCTGAAAGACAGATGAGTGATCCCTGGGGGGTTCTAGCTGCGGCTCAGAACGTTCCCAAGGTCATGGATATGGCAGAGCGGAAGTTGCACCAGCTCTGCCAGATCTGCCTGTTCCATGATCTCCCCTACAGGTTGTTCTCTTGTAATGAAGGCGAGATTTGGGCTCCTTTTTCCCCCTTTTTGATACTGAAGAACAGCCTCTTCTTGTGTCAGACTGTTGATGTTTGAGATTGTCTTTCTACTTTTAAAGAAACCTGTGGTCCAGATAACACTCCGTGATGTCCGCCGCATTTACAAAAGGAGGCACGGCCTCATGCCCTTGGTGAGTCCATGGGGGCAGCCGAGCGGGGTGAATGATCCTCAGGCCTACAGTTTAGCCAGAGGTTCAAGACCATGCCTGACAGTGCCAGTGTGTTACCTTGCAAGCAAATGAACTCTGATTCTTGCTGTTCTTTATATGTGGAAAAGCTAGAAATTGATAAAGGAATAACTCCTTTCTGTGGGTAGGAGGTTCTGCTGCAGAGACAGTAAGAGGGCTAGAGTATCCTGGAGAGTCTCGCTTCTGCATTCTCACTGGACTTAGGTATGCAGAGCCAGTCCAGTGCCACTCGCCACCTCCTGTCCCACAGCTCGGTGTCCAAGTTAGGGCTGGAATGACTCTTCAGGAGAACTACAGTGCGTTCACAGTTAACTTACATGAGGTTGACCTATGTAAGAGAAGGGGACAGAATGACCGTTTAAACCATGTGGGTGTTTCTTCTCACCGTTCCCCTGAGTAAGCATCACCCCAGTGTAGGTTTGTCTTATTTCAGAAATCAGATCCTGTAAAGATGTGATTCCAAGGTATTTTTAATTTGGCATCAGTGTAAATTCATTTTCTTATCCTTTGAAAATTAACCATTAATTTGGCGGCATTACAAAAGCATTGTGGAACTTTAATCATCTAATTTTTGTGCTTTTTAACTTGTGAGATTTAACTGTCTTGCTGCCTATTTTTCTTAAAGAACAGCCTCCATTTTCAATGCTAAGAGAAGGTTAGGGAAACATACTGTTAAACGTCTCCTCCTTTGGGATAGAGGTACAGTCAGAAAAGGAGGTAATTAACATCAGTTGTCAAGGGCCTTCCATGTGCCAAGCAATTCACATGCAATCATTTAGTTATTTTCCATCACAAACCCTGTAAGGTAGATAATGTCCTATTTTATAGACAGAAATTGAGACTTTGGGAGTTAACATCCCCGGTTTCCTGGTCAGAGCTGGTATTTGACCAAGGACAACTCTGGGCCTCCTCCTTTCTCTGTCTATTCCTGTTCTGTCTCAGCCTTACAAGCACAATACTCACAAAGTTCATCATTTTATTAAACATAATTGTAACTTATTAATTAAATGGCTCATTAAATTGTCGATTTATTAGCAATACATAAGTAATATTTCATTTATAAAAGAAACCTAAGCATTTATGTTTGAAGAATAAATGTGAGGAGATGGATAAGTTCATTTCGAATTTCAAAATAATAAGTATCTAAGAACTACTGTCAGTAAAAACATTCAGCACCAAAGGAGCATTTTACAGCGTTTAGCTGAGATACTGTCTTGTTCTCAGGAAGTTTGTTAACGCAACGTACAAGGAGACTTCCCAAAGTACCCGGAAAAATGGAATGGACGTACGAGTTCATTTTGATGGACAAAATTGGCATTCGTGAATAATTTTTTATAATATGCACTTTCTATTAGCCTTTTGAAAACCCATCTAATTATCACCAAATCGTATTTATAGAGGGAAAGTATGAATACAAAGTCTAAACATTAGAATGGCAGATACTTCATTGAAAGGCTTTAGTAATTATGTACTTCTGTCAGGACTGCAAGATGACACCATGCTTTATTCTTTCCTCTCTGAATTTCCAGGGCTTGGAAGTATTTTGCACAGAAGATGATCTGTGTTCCGACATCTACCTGAAGTTCTATGAACCTCAAGATAGAGATGACCTCTACTTTTATATGGCGACGTATCTAGGTGTGGTGTTCGCTCTTCCTGTATCTGTTCACGAAAAGGTAGTTCAGCTCCTAAAGGAGCTGGGCTTGGAATGTACGACGAGAAATGTGCTATATCTGGAATTGCCTCTTGCTTATTTCTTCTCATTACAAACTGTAGTTGCCAAGATATTTTAAAAACTAAGAGAAATATACATTCACTTTTGCAATAGCTCATTCTAATTGTGTGTTTTAAAAACTCTTGGCAAAATAGGTCAATTTTTTTTTTTATATTTCAGTGGCCTCTATATTGAATGAATGTTGAAAAATCCACCTAAATATTTTTGTGCTTAGTCATGTCTTATATTAGTTTATGAAAACTAAGATTCAGTATCTTTTTCTTTTTCCTGAGAGAGACAGGTATTTTTGTACAGAGGGTCTTGCCATGCCATAGTCCCGGCCCCGCCTCCCAGTTAGCTAAGACCACAGGTGCACACTTCCACACCCAGGTTGTTCAGGTTGGTCCAGGAACCACACTGGGCCTGCCACATGGCCCCATTTTTGAGCAATGCACCCAACAGCTTGCACTACCAAGGCTGGGCCTCTTAATTTCTTAATGTGAGACAGTTACCCAGTTATGTGTCTGTGGTCCTTGACTCTGGTCTTAATCACAAAGCCAGAAACAATGCAAACAGAACACGTGCACCTCCTGTGCTCAGTGTAGGACCTTTGGACTCGAATTCCTCCATCTTTCATGGAAAATGTGAATTTTCCCACTTTTACTAGGGAGAAGACACTTTTTTAGTTTTTTATTTGCTTTTAATCTTTTGCAGTAAGGCGCATGTGCTCACTGGAGAGAGACAAAGAGAAAGAAAGTAAGAAATCACCCTCTAGGGAGGAAAGCAACACTACAATCCCTTCTCCTCCATTTTCTCGGGATTTGGGGCACATGCAATTGCCGGAAAGAAAGAGACAAAGAAACAGAAAGCAAGAAATCACCCCCCCACCCGGGGGGGTGGGGATGGCCACACTGCAGACCCTTCTTCTGCATTCTCCTTTGGGGATTTTGGGCATGCACCCAGGTTGAGGTGTAAGACACCAGGTCTGGGACTTGAACTGTGGTTGGCTACGTGTGAGTCCAGTGACGTAACCATTATGCCATCTGCTGGTTCCCAGTGTGACTTTCAAGCTGTCAGGTCTGAGACTTGAACAGAGCTTGGCCTGTGGGAATCCAGCATCTAACCACCACACCACCTGCTGGCCTGTATGTTTCTCTTTTAAACACACTTTTTTTTTTTTTAATCAAGTTGCATGGCAAAATTGAATTCTTATTTACAAAGTTGCCAAATGGCTAGAGTAGAATGGTTTTCTAAAATGGATGTTGGGGTTTTCTAAAAATTTTTATTTTTAATAGCTTTATTGAGATGTAATTAATACACAAAGAACTGCATATATTAAATGAGTATAATTTGAAGCGTTTAGGCATATGTAAACATCCATGATACCACCGCTATTACATTGATTTTTTTTCCACTTCACGTTTCTTTTATGTCTGTTTATACACACGCACACACACACACACACACACACATATATATACATATATATATAATTTATGTGTAATCACTGTGTATCTTTACAGTGTCTGGCATAGTTTTTCCCAGCATGAATAGGACTGATAGTGAATATCAGCCAAGTCAAAGATATTACCATGTACATTATCATCTACAGTTAACTTTTCATTGATGTGTCTATTAAACGTTTTTCTCTTTTATTAGTAAGATCTTAATTTTGTTTGCTGTTCTAGTTTAATAAAACCATTTATGAGCTATTTAGTGTAGTGCATCTTCCCTGAGAATGGGATTTTTCCCTCCAGGGGAATAGTTTATTTTCAATAATGAGCATGTTTTATTTTATAGGAAGTTTGCAGTTCTTGTTTTCTTCTTCACACACGAAGCTATTGAGGGTACCTTGATGCACAAGCATAGCATTGGTACAAGTGTACCTTGGCTTCTTGCCTCCTGATTTGATGTTTCTAGTATTATTTTTTGAACTGTAACAAGATTAAAGCACTTTCACAGTCATTCCTAAAATCTCAAGTCATGATCTGAAACATCTGTCTTTTGTATTTACTCCTAAGATTGTTTGTACATTTTCTGAGGTCCTTCAAGAGTGGAATATGAGGGGGAAAGTGCTTTGCTTTTTTTTTTTTTTTTTTTTTTGGAGAGGTTTTTCACTATAGGGCGCGTGTGCTCTCCAGACAGACAGAGAGAGACATAGAGACAGAAAGCGAGAAATCACCCCCCAGGGGGGATGGTCAGGCTGCAATCCCTTCTCCTCCATTCTCCTCTCGGGATCTTGGGCACGCACACACACGCGCCCGGCGTGAGCTTTAAGCCACCGGGTCCGGGACATGAACCGCGGTCGACTATGTGGGAGTCCAGCGACATAGCCATTACGCTAACTGCTGGTTCCCAGTGCTTTGATTTTTTTTAAAGCCCTTTTCTATAGCTGAATGTAAGAGAGACTTGGTTAAAGTAATTAAGAATAAATAAGAATCGGGGCCAGCAAGTGGCGTGGTGGTTAAAGTGTTGGAATTCCCACATGGCCGACCAAGGTTCGACTCTCGAACTTGGCAGCTTGCTCACTCTCTCTCTCTCTGTCTCTCTCTCAATCTCTCTGTGGGGAGCACATGCCACCCTACGGCAAAAACTTAAAAAGAAAAAAAAAGTCTCTTTCAAGAATGCATGGAAGGGTCTACATTTGAAGCAGCTAGTTGTGATATACTAAGTAAAAATTAGCCACCATTTGCAAAGTTAAGTGACAGCTGGCGCGTCCTCGTCCGCAGAGCACCACGTTGCAGAGCACTCTGCCGAGACCTACATGCTGCAGTGGCAGCGAGGGCACCTCTCCAACTACCAGTACCTGCTCCACCTCAACAACCTGGCCGACCGCAGCTGCAACGACCTGTCCCAGTATCCCGTGTTCCCATGGATAATCAACGATTACTGTAGCTCAGAGCTAGGTGAGTACCGTGCATGGTTCTGACAACCTGAGTTGGGAATGGTCATCATTGTTTTTAAAGGAGAGAATGAATTTTGTTTTAGAATCATGATATAATATATGAGCAAATTAGAGCTCTTCAGTTTTATTACTAAAGATTCCCAATTTCCTTTCTGATGTACTGGGTGTCACTTTTTTTTTTATAACTTATTTTATACATTCAGTCACTGTCTTATCATTTGGCTTATAAAGTGAATTTATCCAACACAAATACACCTCACACCAGTCCAGCTGAGGATACTGTACACATTATCATCTTTTTTTTTGAGAGAGAGAGAATTTTTTTTATTTCGTTTTTTGTTTTTGCTATGGGGCATGTGTGCTCGCTGGAGAGACAGAGAGACAGAAAGTGAAAAATCACCCCAAAGAGGGGCTGACCATGCTTCAGTCCCTTCTTCTCCATTCGCCTCTCAGGAGTTTGGGCATGTACTCACATGTGCCCAGCTTGGGTATTAAGCCACTGGGTCCAAGACTCGAACCACGGTTGACGACATGGGAGTCCAGTGACATGACCATTATGTCATGTGCTGGTCCCACGTGTTATTATCAGCAGATAACAATCCATTTCTGTGTCCCATAAATGTCTTGCCTCTCTATTTTTCTTCTTAATTTCTTTTATCACACTCTCACTTTCTCCCACCCTCTTCCCACACTGTCTGCAGTAGCTATAACAATTTTCCATGTTTTTATATACTCTAATCTTTCTGTTTTTGCCATGGAGTGCAGACAGTCAGTATATATTAAGTGGAGATATACAGTGTCTCTCTTTCATAGCCTGAATTGCTTCACTCAGCAATAAATCTTCCATATTCATCCACTTTCTATCAAATGGCAGGATCGTGTTGGTTTGTGTATGGCTGAGTAGTATTCCATAGAGTAATGTTACATAAATTTTGTAAGTTTTTTTTTAATGTGGTTTCTCCATCATACTTCTTGAAGGGCACACACAACATATATAAATAGTTTTAATCCAGATAAAATAGATGATTAGGAAAAGAAAAAACTATTCATTATAAAACATTTAATCAAAGAAGGAATTCATCAAAAGAAATAGGGTTAGCCTGATAGTGCAGCGGTTAAGCCCTGTGCATAGGGAGCTGGATGCCACATGGCTGGCTACAATTTGAATTCCCATCCTGGTGGCTTGAAAAGCAGGCCGAGTACATGTGCACCATGTCCAACATCTTGACAGGATGGAGAAATGGAGGAAAAATGACTGGCATAACCATGCCCCAGTGTGGGGGAGGGGTTCTCTCTCTGTCTTTCTCTCTTTCTATGGCAAACACACTCACCCTCTAGCAGCTGGACAAAGAAAAAAAAAAGAAAAGAAAAATTATCCAAAATGCTTGGGTTTTGGTTTTTAGTTTTGCTATAGAGGCAGAGTGCCATACATACACAGACACACACACACACAAACACACACACCAACCACACCGGGAAAGTGAGAAATCATTTCCTAGGAGGATGACCACACCACAGTCACTTCTCCTCCATTCTCCTCTTGGGATTTTGGGCATGCACACACACGCGCCCAGTGTGATTTTTAAAGCCACCAGTTCCAGACTCAAACTGCACAGTCAACCATGTGGGATCCAGAGCCTTAACCTCCATGCCAGCTGTTGATCCTGTCCACAATTCTTTACTGAGAAGTAACCATTTTTACTTTGTGGCACATGTACTTCTTTCTTGTTCCCTCTTATTATTTTTATAAAAGTGATCATATTATAATTTTATTTTGTAATATTTTTAAATTATATATTGTGTACACTTAGTTTCTTTTGAAATTCACTAAATTGAACCCTTTTAATTGTGAAAGAGTTCATAGATTTTCTAGGAACATGAGCTTTTATTTCTATGATAATATTCAGATCCTCAGTTCTTAAATCATACTACTATCACACAAAATATTCACTATAATAGACTTAGAAGTAAATCTTAGTAGGCTTTTTTTTTTTTAAAGAGTTTTTTGCTATAGGGTGCATGCTCTCACCGGAGAGACAGAAAGTGAGAAATTACCCCCTAAGGGGGATGGCCACACTGCAGTCCCTACTCCATTCTCCTCTTGAGATTTTGGGTATGCATGCACACGTGCCTCGCATGAGTTTTAAGCTGCTAGGTCCAGGATTCAAACTGTAGTCGACTATATGGAGGTCTAGCGACATAACCATTATGCCATCTGCTGGTCCCCTTTTTTTTAAGTTTACGGTTTTTTTCCTCTTGTTTTACTTGGGATATAGTTTTTATTATTTTTTAAAAACAGTAGTTCTTTTTACTAAGATTAACATTCAGGGCATTGTCATATTACTTTTTCTGTTTGCTTTTTAATTTGCATATGTGTTTGCCAGCGAGGAGGGAGAGGGGAGAAAGGACCCCTCACCCCATGGAGCGTGGTCACCGTGCAATCATTTCTCCCCTTCTCTACTTGCTTTTGGGATTTTTTGCATGCATACACCTGTGCCTAGTGGGCTTTTCAAGGCATCTGCTCTAGGAGTCAAACCATGTGGGAGCCAGCTTCCTTAACCACCAGGCTATGAGCCGGCCCTGTAGGAATCTAACTCTTAAGGAGATGCTGCTAATTGAAACCTACAAAGGTCTAACCTTTTCTTTACAACTATGTAGAATATAGACAACCAACAGATATACAATCCTCGTGAATATGTCTCAATTTTTTAAAAACTATTTACTTTGTAGAAATAAATATGTACACTTGAATCAGTTCAGGAAATAATGGTGTAAATACAAACTGAAATTGTTCATTTACATTTATAGATTTGTCAGACCCAGGAACCTTCCGGGATCTTAGTAAGCCGGTGGGAGCCCTAAATCAGGAACGGCTGGAGAGACTCCTGGTAGGTGCACGTACGGATTCCTGGTTTCTTGGCCACATCATGAGCCGACATTTTTATAGTAATGGAAAGTCATTTCTCCAAGGGCCACAGCAGAGGGACTCCGTGACTCTATGCACTGTCTTTTTTCTTCTTTCCCCGCCATGAATGTATTACCAGCTGCTCACTATTTGCATCTGTTGCCTACAATTCAGAGACAGGAGGGTGACATGTTTACAGGTTTTTGGAATGATTTCCATGAAGGTACTCTGCAGTTAACTGCACAGCAGACATGAAATGAGTTCCGTTTCATCCAGCCCCAACCTAGCCACCACTAGGCCAAGAAAAGCAAAACACGTCCCAGGAATGCTGTATGGTCACCTATTTCCTTGCCATCTTACCTTCTTTCCTTACTAAGAAAGAAATGAAAGAATCCAGGGTGGCCAGGCCATGGTTCAGTGTAGGCCTTACTGCTTGAATCGGTTGTTATTTTAGAGCTGACACTTACGTTACTTTTTTCCTGTGCTGTAGACACGCTACCAGGAGATGCCCGAGCCGAAGTTCATGTATGGGAGTCACTACTCTTCCCCAGGCTACGTGCTCTTCTATCTCGTCAGGATTGGTAAGAGCCCTGTGCCTCTATGAAATCGCGTTTCACTTGGATACCGAAAGGCTCTGTGCTCTGACATCACTCTGGCCTCTCCCCTTCTAGCACCAGAACATATGCTGTGCCTACAGAACGGAAGATTTGATAATGCAGACCGGATGTTCAACAGGTTCGATATCAATGCCTCACTTACCATTTTGCAAACTTCCTGATTATATATGTATGGTGTGTTTTATGATACAAAACTGTAAAGAAATACAAAAAATAATCGTTATACCTACACCTTTCAGGCTTTTCTTGAGGGGGATGTGCGTGAATGTGAAAATATGTTTTAAATACAGTTTGCAGCTCTACCTTTTGTTACTCTAATAGTACATCTTTCGGTTTGCACCATATTATTAGTGACTTCAAAGCAATGATTTTTTTAATTATTGTTTCATATTCTAGCATATGCCACAATTTATTTCCACTATTTTTCTCTGTGGTTGGGCATCTAGGTCCTCTCTAGCATTTTATTATTCTTAATAATGCTGCTAAGAATTGAATACAGCTTCTTGGGGATGTTCAAATCGGTGTAGTATCTTTTTCTGAGCTCCCCACTTATCCATTTAGAACTCCTTTGAAACGAGCTGTTAAAGTAGTTGGCTCTCCTTCCATCATGGAGCTGCTACCTCCATTTGGCCCTTGCACAGTGCAGCACATACGTGGTGGCAAATGGTGTGGGCCACGACTCACAGCCACTCCTGTGTGATCACAGACAAGCCCCAAAACTCCCGGGGCCCCCCTTTTCTCTTCTGTCAAAGGAGAAAACTTGAATGGATGCTGAGAACCAAGAGTGAATGAGAAAATGTGATAGTCTAGGTTTAGGTACATAGGAGGTGCTGCTGCTGTTTTCAGAACTTAGATTTCAAATCAAGTGACCCAGATCCAGCAGATGACGTAATGGTTATGTTGCTGGACTCTCACGTAGTCGATCGTGGTTCGAGTCTCGGACCTAGTGACTTGAAACTCATGCTGGGCAGGGTGTGCATGCATTCCTAAAATCCTGAGAGGAGAATGGAGAAGGGAGTGTGGTGTGGCCATCCCCCCGGGAAGTGATTTCTCACTTTCTGTCTCTCTGTCGGTGAGCACACATGCCCTATAGCAAAAATCTCTCTCAAACAACAAAACAAAACAAAATTAAAATTAAGTGAGCCTCTTTCTTTCCTATGTAGTATTGCAGAAACTTGGAAAAATTGTTTGGATGGTGCAACAGACTTTAAAGAGGTAAGCAATTGATAGAGGTCATGATTCACTAAGCTTGTGGTTTCTGATTGTTTTAAAAAATGTTTGTTGCTGTTCTTTTTTATTTCCCCTGACACTTTCAGTTGATTCCAGAATTCTATGGGGATGATGTCAGCTTCTTAGTCAATAGTCTGAAGTTGGATTTGGGAAAAAGACAAGGAGGGCAGATGGTGGAAGATGTGGAACTTCCCCCTTGGGCTGCAAGTGAGTACCATCTTGGAGGTCCTGTGTCACATACAGAATTGTTACTCTGTTGCTTTGATTTCTTAACATGATTCCCTATCTAAATGAGGCAATATCACTCCTTTTCCAAATGAACAATATTCTATGAGTCTGTGATATGAAAACATTCATACTTGAAAACATTGTATTTGAAAGACCTAAATGTTCTGAAAATGATTCTTTCCATGTTTCTCCTTCCCGATAAAAACTTGTATATTACATGATGGTGGGGAAAAACACCTTGCATAAGAAATGTGTACCTCTTGCCTATAGTAGACACTTTATCTACATGGGGATAGACAAAAAAAAATAGGAGAAAATAAAATGAGACTTCATGATGTTCTGATTGAGTCTAAACTGACAGGCCCGGAGGATTTTCTGCAGAAGAGCAAAGAGGCGCTGGAAAGCAACTATGTGTCAGAGCACCTTCATGAGTGGATTGACCTAATATTTGGCTACAAGCAAAAAGGGAGCGATGCTGTCGGGGCCCATAATGGTATGTGACATTATTTGAATTTCCTTTAGCATTTGGTGGAGATGAAAGCAAACAAGCCAACAAAGAGAACAAGGCCAGAGCAATCAAGCGTGTTTCTTTGCAGAAACAGAAGCATCTTGTATCAGAAAACAGTACTCACGGGCTCTGTGGTAAGAGACCGAGTAACTGAGGAGGAGGCACTTGGACAAACTACCTCACTGTAGTCCCCAGACGCTTTTGCTTTTAAAGTCTTTTGATGTTGGCATATACTCTCCATTCCATTCGGTAATTTCAGTTAAACTCAGATAGCCAGGTGTGTATGTATGTGCCAAAATTGTGGCAGGATGGAGAAATGGATTCTTTTTTAGATAAAAAATCAAAATATAGGACCAGCAGTTAGCGTAATGGCTATGTCGCTGGACTCCCATGTAGTCGACCGCAGTTCGCGTCCTGGACCCGGTGGCTTAAACTCACGCAGGGTGCATGTGCATGTGTGCCCAAGATCTCGAGAGGAGAATGGAAGAGAAGGGATTGTGGCATGGCTATCCCCCACTGAGGGGGTGGGTGATTTCTTGCTTTCTTTCTCTCTGTCTCTCTCTGTCTTTCTGGCACACACACGCATCCTATAGCAAAAACCTCTAAAGAGAAAATCAAAATATGATCAAACAGTGACTTCAGTTCCTGCTCCAGTTTCTTTTCTATTAGACAGAAAACAAGAGCAATGTACCTCCCCTTCGTTCCAATTCTTACCTGCCCCCAAGTCTGTTAGTGTTGCTAACAAGAAATCGAAGCTGGAGATGTAGACTGACTGCTCACATGGCAGTGCAGGGTCCAGCCAGCACCATGGCGGGTTCTCCCACTGAGGGGCAGATGTCGCTGCCCGAGACCCACTGCGGAGACTGGTCATCCACCTTGCCAGTTAGATTCATGCTCATGAGAAGATAGTAACTCAAGGTGACGTTTATTGCAATTTGGATGTTTTACAAAGTGAAAATCCATTTGAACACATGGTTTACATCATTAAGTTCAGAATAACGTATATCATATAACTGAAAAGTGCAACTTTTAATCACATGTTATGGTTCTCTTTCAGTATTTCACCCCTTGACCTATGAAGGAGGCGTGAACTTGAACAGGTATGTACATGTCTACATTGGATTGCTACTCGAGTTATAAAACCCTTTTTGTCTAACTTATTTTTTTGAGTTTTTTGAGAGTGTTAAGGATATGGAACTTTAAAAACAAATTATATCTTATATCTATTCACTATCATGTTAGTTTCTGAGCTGTGGAAAGTTATCTAAAGATCTGTGATGAGGTTTAAATAATCCCAGGGGATCTTTGTTATCATATCTCATGGTTTACTCTCTTCTGTTGAACTGTGTTATTTGAAGTGTGTGTGTGCTTTCAAGGAACTTGGACCTAGAGGTTCACTCCATGCCTTGTGTTCTGTCCTGAAGCATCGAAGATCCTGATGAGAAAGTAGCCATGCTAACCCAGATCTTAGAATTCGGGCAGACGCCAAAACAGCTGTTCGTGACACCACATCCTCGAAGGATCACCCCAAAGTGTAAAAGTTTGTCCCAGACTTCCAGCTATAATGCTTCTATAGCCGATTCCCCAGGTAAATGTGTGAGGAGAATACATGTGAGTACGTGTGGTTTGTCTGCCATGTTTCTGAAGATTCTGAAGAGGAGACAAACACAACCTGTTGTTTTGCTCAGAGATGACTGTGTTGTACCATCTTGTTTGGGTTCTCTTGAAGACGAATACCTGTTGTTATTTGGTTTTAACTACTGTCCTTAAAAGAAATCGGATTACTTTTATCTTCTTCTAATTTGAGATGGGGAAGACATAGGTGTATATTTCCAACATGATTCCCTTCCTTTGGTTTTCCAAGCTGGTGTTTGATTGTCAGCCGCTCAGCTGTCCAGACCTCTAATCCTGGCCAGGGCTGCTTTCACACCCACTGTCCACCCTGTTGCTTCCAAGAAGTGACTTCCTCCATCTGTCCCTCATCCTCCTCTTCTATACCCACATACAAATCTTCAATTCAGAGTGCTCTAATGTTTTTTCATTTGATTTTGTTTTCTGTCCCGTGATGGGCATTTGGTAGTGCTAAAATGACTGACCCATTTCTCGCATCTCATCTATTAGGTTGTCAAGAAAGTCATGACGTGTTTTTCTTTTTTTTTTGTTTGTTTCTTTCATTATTTTATTATTTTTGTTTATTTCTTTTTTTCCTAGTTTCTTTTATTTATTTACATTCATTCACTATACATCATTACAGCAAACAAAATGAGATCTCCCATCGAGAATCCATTGTAAATTAGATCAATCAAGCACATCAACATACGTGTTATCGTCAACAAATAATTTTCCATTTGTTTCCTGTATATTCTGATGTTTTTGCTATCCTTGATTCCCTATCCCTTACCCTCTGCCGTGTCTCACCCTACTCCCACACTGTCTCTGGTATCCATGGTTGCTTTCTGTGCCTTTTATTTATTCGTAATGAACTTAATTAATCTAAATACTTCCAATAGCAAGCGCAGCTGATATGTACATATCCATGAACACAAGTCTGACCCTAGGCATAAACCTCAGTGAGTAGAATGAACATACTGTAAAGTAGCACCCAGCTGGGCTGTATAGCTTACTGCAGTCCATGACGTATTTTTCTATGCAGAAATGCATCATGACTTTCCTGATGACCCATAGCATTTGCAAAGGAAAGGAGGACCCTCACCTCTGCCCCACTATGTGTTTCACATTTCACATAAGACAGCCTCAGACCTCCAGGCTCCTGGAAGGACTTCCACACTAGATGGAGCCTTGGGAGCAAAATCACTTCAGTTCTTTCCATCTCTAGTTTCCTTGTCTGTTCTCAGCACAGCCAGGCTTCTCAGAGCCGGGAGTCACATGACACATTTGCCTGGGGAAGAGTGCCCCACAGGGTTAAACCACCCGAGGATTATCTTGTGATGCCATTTCAACCCGTGCTCTGCTTAGTCACCAGCCAGAATCACTGTCATGTGATTGTTTTAAAAGGGTAATCATTCTAGCCCTTCTTAAAGCAGAAGTTGAAAGGATTACTCATGTCCAGAAGTACTTGGCAGTAACTGATTTCTTTGTTTTCTCTACCTCAAAACCAAAACACAACTGCAGCATTCTTAGGCAACCATCAGGTTTTTGGCAAAGATGGCTGGCTGACCAGGAAGTGGTTAAGTCAGCCTTGTATTTCCTGAAATTCATAAGTTGGCGGCCAAGGGGAAACCTTGAAAACGTTGATAAAAGTATAAAAAGACTATAGTATTCAAAGATACTTTTTGATCTTTCTCGACACGATCTTTTTTTCCTGACTGACATGGACTTCTCTACCAAGTACATTTCAAAGCATTTCTGTTTTGGTAAGGTGTTTCGTTTTCTTGGTTGTCTGCTTTCAGCAGG